CGAGTGTATCGTCCGTTTATAAACAGTCCAGCGCATGGTGCGAGAGGTTTGACGAGTGATCGTCCGTTTATAAACAGTTCAGTGCATGGTGCGAGAGGTTTGACGAGTGATCGTCCGTTTATAAACAGTCCAGCGCATGGTGCGAGAGGTTTGACGAGTGAATTCAGGTACGATTTTTGTTAAAACAGTTATCTGTGAAGTGTTCCAAAAATAATTATTTTCGTTATAGGAGAATTAACTGCAGTTTGAAGGAAATAACTAGCTCTTGGTCTAGGGAACACAATCAGCTACAGAAAGGAACGTTAAAAGATGCGAGTCTTAAACAATAACAATTTACCTGAAATATCAATCGCACGTTGACAGCTTTGACACAGATCACGACACCTCATCATCGGAGTAACCACATTTCCAACATAACGGATCGTACGCACTACGCTGTCGAGATCAGTAAAATGAGTTCTAGTTCATGGGAAGAATTTCTGTAATTTTCGTTCCTGTCCACCGAGTTGAACTTGTATCGTCGCAGTTATACATGTTGGACGGGGCCCTAGGCGGTCGCCTACACCTATAGCCGCCACTGACTATAATATAATTTGGATAAAAGCATGTCCCAACGGTCAGCGTGCCGGACTATAGATCTACGGTTCCGCGATTCGCGTTCCGTTACCGAAACACAAAATCGCGCTCCGCATTTTGGAGCTGTGGATGCGTTATAACTGTAAGTGTCATATCCCACTATTTAGTCTGAGAAGAGCAGCCAAGAGCTAGAAGTGGGTGGTATTGACTAGCTGCCATCCTTCTAGTCTATCGATTCAAAATTAGGGACGACCAGCACAGATACTCCTCGTGTAGCTTTGGGCGAGAAATCCAACAAATGGTAATCAGAAATAAAATTCCTTATTCCTTTAAATATTTTTGTGTTCTGTTTATCAGATATTTCCATTATTAACTATACACATTCATCACATACAAGAAATTGTTTTATAAATTTTCAGCATGTTCAAAACAAAAGGTATGGTATGAAGAAAGAAAAAAAAATATAAGTTTTGAAATAACATGTTATATAGGATTATAAGACCCTGACATGTTCAGTATTTCACCATTACGACTCATTCAAGAACTCACTTTACACAAAAGTATTTCGCTTATGCAATAGCGACTGCTAAATCAAAGCAGGTGATTGAATGACACATGATATGAGTACTAACATAATATCACTATTAAATCCGTAGATTTAAAAAGTATCAAGTCATGTGTTCTTATTTGATTGATCAAAACTTCGCCCCAGACTACACACATTTTGAACCGTTAAACTAGATGAAAAGCAGCTGGTCAAGGGAATCGCCAACAACTCTTCGGCTATTCTTGTCTGACTGAATACTTACTCACAGCGCCAAATTGCGACGGGATCAAAAGTAATAGAATCATATTTCAATCATTTTTGAGCGAAATTATATTGTTCATAGAAACTAGTCTACTTGACTACACCAGGTGATAAATGTAAACATAGAAAAATATATTTCTTTTAAAGAATTTTTTAAATATATATTTTTTTTAAAGAATGAGAAGCACCTGAGTGTCAATGATTACTTTAGAAATTGCCTGAGAGTGTTATTGTTTCAAGGTGCAAGTGTAATGTATTAGAAATACTGCCAGAAAAACAAGTTTCTGAAACATATTGTTGGTGTAAAGTGTCATTGGCCGCTATTCAGTTCTTCACATTATATAGCAGTACATTAGCAGGTATAATAAATAATATATAAATTCTGAAAATTGTTTAATCTCGAAATCTAACTTCAAGTTCAAAATTAAACAATTTTTGGAATACTAAGTTTATTTATTAAGAGTTTCTTAAATGAAAAAACGTAGGTTAGACATGGGAAAAACGAGAAGTATTTCTTTCACAACTACAACGAGACTTGTAATAATATATTTATATATGTTGTTCTGCCATTTTTAAGCTAACATTTTTGTGTATGTTGGCAAACAAAAAACAAATCTGGAAATTTTTAAATAAAAAGAAATTACGACTATAACCATTAAATTTCATTCAGTGGATCTTCATTTTATGATTTTTTTCCGTCAGTTTTCTTATTAAGTTCGATGTTATGAAAATTTACTCAGATATTTTTATATTTTTACTTAGATTATTGTGTTTAAAACACACCAGCATGTGTTTTTAAATAACTGAAATATGATGACCACGTTTTGTTAAAGATAATTTTAATTAAAGTACTTTTACAGGGACCGTGAGTGGCTAGTGGTTAGCGTGCTCGACTTATGAATCCAAGGATTCATCGTTCAGTTGCAGCAAATACACGTTCCGTAATTTGTGGCAGTGTAAGGGTCTAATCCTAGTATTCTCTCGGCCAAGAGTGGAAAGTGAGGGACGTTAAAAAACCATCTTCCCTCTAGTCTATCAGAAAAATTAGAGATAGCTATGCGCAGATAGCTTGGCTCGAAAAGTTCAAACCGCAATTCAGTAAAAAAAGTAGAATGTTTAAACATTAAAAAGAGAACAGTAAGTCAATTTTTGTATCATCTGTCAAAATTATTATCTTTTTACCCAATGTCGAGGAAATCGTATATACCTCTTTTATTTTACTATCACTACTTAGTTTTTACTATTCTCGCTCTTCACAGCAAAAGTTGTTGATTTATTATTTTTTGTTTTCCGTATGATGGAACACTGATGATTTTCCAGGCCTATTTTACATTACGTTACACTTATAGAGAAAAAAATTATAAAAATATAAGATATAGTTTAAATACTTAGCACACTACAGCCTTAAAAGTCGCATAATTCTTCACAAAAACGAACTTTTGGCAAAGCTTTCTGAAAATAATGCGGTTTTTAATTCAAACTTTCGATAAGATATTCAGAATATGTATGATTTAACAGTTTAAAATGAAATAAACTTGCCACTGATGAAATATTATTCATTTCTTACCGATTTGAATCTGCACGTGGGTCTTCTGCAGTCAACTGGTGTCTAGTTCGTAGAAGCTTTGAACAACAAGCATGCATCATAGAAATATATGTTTAAATGTAGTTGTCCATTTCATCTCCAAAGTTCAAGCTTATGCAATTCAATGACAGATGGATCGTTTATCTTTAAAAGTATCAGCAAATACAGTTGCCAGAAAACAGCTGGCGAAGCCTTGTTTAAACATTCAACCCTGAGTTTCTGTGACGTTGAACGAAAGTTAATTACAAATGCTATCACTTGGTATGTTACACAACACAAGTATATGTAACTGTTCGCGTTATTTTATCTATCTCAACCTGTAAAATTACAATATCATAGAAGTGCTGTTTTATAAGTTATCAAGCAGGTTTAAACAAACACAAAATATATTCTTAACCCATAATGCTTGGTACTGGTAATGTCACCTCAAAGAAAGAAGTACTATCCCAAAACAAGAGCTCTTACTGTAGGTAGAATAATGTGGAATATATTGTTGCGTCAGCGAGGTCACATGACTAGTGTCACGCCACGTTTCTAGAACTATCCTGTACCTTGGCGAATGCTCTAGCATTTACTAGATATAGGGTAGTCTGGTATATAAAAGAGGGTGACAACGTGACGG